CCTAGGCTGGAGTGCAGTGGTGCCATCTTGGCTCAATGCAACATCTGCCTCCCAGGCTCAAGTCATCCTCCCATCTCAGCCTCCTGAGTAGATGGGACTACAGAGGCACACCATGACGCTCGGCTAATTTTTGTATATTTTGTAGAGACCGGGTTTCGCCATGTTGCCTAGGCTGGTCTCGAACTCATGAGCTCAAGTGATTTGCCTATTTCAGCCTCCCAAAGTGCTGGGATTACAGGTATGAGCCACTGTGCCTAGCCAGAAAAATAAACCTATTTTATACCAGAAGTTTTACAGTAAACAATAACAAACAACAATAACAAGAAGTATTTTAAAAAGTAGTAATCTGATACTTAATATAAGCTTTCCTTTGAGACATTCTAGGCATTTATAAATCTAAATTCCTAGGGACTCACTGACAAAATTCATTCATTCATTGAATAAATATTTATGTAACATTCCTGGATACCAAGCTGTTTTCTAGGCTTTTGGTACACAGTGGGAACTTGTCTAGTGGAGGTGACAAATGGTTAACAGGGAAAAAATGGAACAGCATTTTTTAAATTTAAAAAAAAAATCAATCTTTGTGGACCTCCTTTAAGCTTATATAGCATGTGGACTTTTCCTTTTCATTGCATTTAAACTATACTCTGTTCTTGGTTTAAATATCTTTCCACCCCTTAAGAATGATCTAAAGGCAAGGAGTGTATTTGTCTTCGAATCCCAGGCACCCAGCTAGGTATTTGGTTCATTATAATGGCTCAAGACATGTACTGTTAAATAAATAGATTTCCCTACTTTACAAATTTCTTCTCTCCTTCTCAAATTAATACTCAAAACCCTGGTTCCGTTTTCTCTCCTTCCTCATCCCACTATCCCAAAATGAAAAACCAACACTAATTTTATGTTGGAAACAGCTGAGATCCCTGAGGACTGATGCTTGAGCACAAGCTACTTAATCAAAATCAAACATGCTTAGCTCATAGAAAGCAGTCAATACAAAAATTATTAAATGAATTGAATGACTACAATGTTTAAAAAAGTCATTCAGAAAAGTAGTAAGAGGAAGATACACCCCTCTAAACACAAGTTCATAACAAGCATTTTAAAGAGAATTCATACATTGTTTGATCTTGCAACAAAAATCCAAGTGAAACCACAAATAAAAGCCAGAGTTATTAATAAATATTGGAGGAACATCAACTTACAAGTGTGAGCTGAAACAAAGTTGCAGAGCTAAGGACTTAAGAACTGCCAGTCTTGCTGAATACAATGTTGTCTTTTTCTGTTGCATGTCTGAGTTTGGGAAAGCTCTCTTAAGGTAAAGCGGATTTTTATCTTCTGGTTTAACTGGGAGGCTGAGATACATTTCTAACTTCTCAAACAGTGACCTGCTCTTGCCTCTCTGGCAATGAATGAACAGTTACAGCCTTTGGTTACAATTAGTTTTTGCTTTTGGAGCATCTCCCAGGGGTGATATATGAATGCTCAAGAGGAAGAGGTTGTGAGGCAAATCTGGAAGCTGGGACTCTGCTGAAGCAAATATGCTCTTGTGGGATGTGGCTGTGAGCACAGTATGTGCTAAAATGTAAATAACACAGCCAAAGCACCAAATGCCACGGTTTTTAAATTAAGAGGACTTCTCAGCAGTTATAGACATATACATGTAGAGATGCATTTGTATTTCTGTTACCCCAAAACCTGAAATCATGTGAACAACGAGTCAGGCTTTATTAAAATCATTGGAAAGACCATTAATTCAATGTTTTCCCTCAGTGAGTGACCAGTACCAAGTCCTCTATCTGAAGCTGGCACCCTTGGAATTCACACAGCCAATTACGCAATATCAGACCATTGGGAAGCATTTCTGGCTGGCTCAGCTGGTGATCCGATTTTACCCTGCAGCACCAAGATTGATAGACCTTATAATTTTATCCTGGTTAGCGCAGATGGTTTTTACATAAGTTTTTAAAAACCTCCTTTCTCCCAAAAGAAAAAGAAAAACAACCTAAGCCCTTCCGAAGGGGCTTGCCCTGGTAACATCTCACGATGGTAGATAAGTACCCTGATCACTGGCTTAAGAAAAAAAAGAAATCCCTTTTGTGATTTCTGAGTTTGTTGTGGTTTAATTTCATTGAATGCTGTGTGTACTTGTTTATAAGAGTGAAAAGGAATAGTAATTTGCCTCTCTAAATCACTCCTTTCACGAGGCTTTTTTTGGGCATGAGGGGAATGGGAAAGAGACTCATTCTTAGAAGGTACAGCATATCCAATGCACGAGCTGTTAGTTTCCCTCATGCTAATGACGAGGTATAATTTTGAAACATCACATTCATATGCATATATGGTGCATACATACATAAGTGGTGTATTTACAAAGCACCTTAGAGAATCTTAGAACTCTTAGTTCTATTAACCCTTAAAGGGAAAACCAGAGTTCAGATCAGTCAAGCACAATGGACTGTGCTTGCTTTCAATTATATTCACCCATTAGCTATGTCTAGGAAAGAGATCTCTAAAAAAGCAAAATACATTTTATGAAGCACTGCCACAGTCTGTTACGCATTTATCTCCTTCTACAGTTCCAATTACAGAATAAGCAGTAGCTACTACACGGAACAACAGCACTAGCCAAAAAGATTTTTCTAATCTGAGAAATGCTCCCATATTGACTCTGCTAAGAGAAACAACTCCCCTTTCCTTGACTATAAAGAAGGAAGACAGATGGCTTCTTGTTTAGGACTGTAATTTTACTTTCAGTCTCCTCCCTGAGTTAAAAACAAGATGTACTTTTCTGGCTTTGAGGGAAAAATCTCAAGGGAATGTTTTTTATTCCTGGCCACACTGAATAATTCAACAATCATTTGAGAGAGCTGAGGGAGATACAAAGGAGAAAATACTTTTCCTTGTTCTCAGGGAGTTTACAATCTAACTCTGGAGTTTACAACCAGAATTGGGACTAGAACCATTAGAGTTTTATGTCTTCGCTTGTATTTGTCGGTCTAATGGTTATCAGAAACACATGTAGGATTCTCTAGCTCCGTGGTATGGTGGACCCTCTGATCGAATTGAAAGGAAACTAGAAAGAATGCAGAAGAATTCAAGATCTTAAGCAGTTGAGTACTTGCTGACCTAGCAGCACTTCCTTACGTTATTTGATCTTGACCACAAGCCTTTGCGGTCATCCTTGCTACCAGCATATCACAGAAGAGGACAATGAGATTTGGAGAGGTAACTCGTCCACAGTCACGAACTCAGGAAATGGCATAGGAAAACACCAATTAGGAATTTTTCTCTGGCCCTTTCTGTAGCTGTCCCCTTACAGGCTCCCATTCCAATTTTCCTTGGCTTAGATTCCCTTTCAATGCATGTAAAGTCAATTTAATTCTGTGTTCTTTTCTTCCCTCTACACTTGAAGTAATCTTTAAAACGTGATGTCTCATATTTGGTGAATCAGTGCTTTTGGAAGTCTCACTCCCTTGCGTCTTTGCAAATAAAGTTTTTCTTTTTTTTTTTTTTCCTGTGTCTGTCTTTTAAGACATTCTGTGACAAGATGAAATGAGATATGAAGGCTCTAACAGTGCCTGATAAATGTGTTTTTTAACATTAGTCATTACCCTTAGTTTTATTTCTTTCACTTTTTAACTGTTTTCGCCTCACACTGTATTTCCTAACGACTCTTTTGGAACTGTAAATTTCTTGAAGGTAGTGACCAGGTCTACTCTAACTTGTTGCTGCTTCCTTTAGTCTTACTGATTTAGCAACAGTACCTTGGTAAGTCTCTTCTGTTCGTCTCTTTATTGCCAGTACCAGTTACTGGAACTTAGTGTGTCATCGATAAGTATTTTTAATATGAGTAAATTAATGTCCCCTTTTTGTTTTTTGTAGACTATCCTGTATAGGAAAGTTTAGCTTGGATCCAGTATGGCTTTGACTTGCAAGCCTGGATAACTTTTTGCCTTTTCCTCATTTCTGGCTATTTATTACCATTTCAACCTTGGGGAATTTCATTAGGTTCTTGGTCCCTTTCAAGGCTCAGTTTCCACATCAGCAAAATGGGGACAGTAGCAACAGATACTTCTTTCTTCCAGTCTTCTTATCACCTACTCTTTCTCCAGGAAAGGTTTCTTGTGTACGCTTTCCTCTGGAGAAAAGAAGAGCGGACAGAGCGATAAGAAGCCATCAGGATCCTGAGTTGTGCGCCCAGTAGGGAGAGGGAGCAGTCCCGCTTGCGTCCCGGGTCCGGAAGCAATCAGGCCCCTTTTCGGCAGCGAGTTGGCCCGGTCTTCGTCTGCCTCAGCCCGCTTTGCCCTCTAGCCTCGAGGCAGAGAGCTGCCTCGGTGCCACAGCTAAATAAGCCCGGCGCCGCGCAGTCTCTGACACGCGCGGAAGGGCCCGGCCTCGTTCTGGCTGCCGCCGCCCTGCCGCCCGCAAGGCGCTGCACTGGGGGCGGGGAGTCTGATGGGAGACGCGCGCGGCGCTGAGGAGGCGGCGGCCCGGGAGAGGGAGCGGGAGAGGGACTGGGCGCGGGAGGCGGGAGGCGGGGAACAGAGGGAGGCGCCGCTGCCGCCGCCGCCCGCCCCTTTCCGCTGGGGAGCAGCTGCTGCAGCAGGAGCAGAGCAGGAGCCGCGCAGCCGCCGCCGCCGGGGGATGTGGCCGGTGTCTGCCCCTAGCCGCGCCGCCTCTTGAGTACCAGCCGCCGCTGCAGCCACCGCCGCCGCCTAGCCGTGCGGGGCCAGGCCGCGCCCTCCCCGGGCGCCCGCCGGCTCGCATGCCGAGGGGCTCCGGGGCGTAGCTGCGCGCCCGGCGCCGCCTCCGGGCTCCTTCGGCCCCGCCATGGGCTGCTGCAGCTCCGCCTCCTCCGCCGCGCAGGTGAGGGGCTCCCGCCTCCCGGCCGCCCGCCCGGATGCCTCCCGTGCGCCGCGTCGCTCGGCGGGCGCCCGCCGTCCGATACCTCTCGCTGTCCCCAGCCTTCCCTGAGCGCACCGTGCAGTCCAAAGACCCCCACGCCGCCTTTCCCTCTCCCGGGTGCCGCCGATGCCCGCGCGCTGGCTCCCCGGTCCCGCCGATGCCCGCGCGCTGCTCCGCGGCTGCCGACTCGCAGGCGCCTCTGCGCGTCCCCTGGTGCGTCCTCAGCTCTTCCCGGCCCCTTCCCCACTTGGCCCCCTCCTCCCAGTCACACCTGAGCGGCCCGTCCCGCCAGCCGGCAGGTAGAGGCTGCACTGGCGCCTCCTCTGCCCCAGGTGGCATCCCCTTCCCTGTTCTTCCGGGCCTGGCTCCTCTCTTCCACCTCCGTGGAGTCTCCCCGCCATCCGTCGCCTGTTTTCTGTGCTCCTCGCAGGTGTACCCCCAGCAAGGGCTCTTCACCTCTTCCACCGAATTCCGGTTTCTGCTTCATTAGATATTCTGTCCCTTTTCTCTTGCCTGCTGCCTCCCGGCTGGGTTCGGATGTTTCAGCGGGTCCCGGAGCCCTTCCACGGCCCGCTCCGCAGACCTCGCTTGCTCGCTTGCACCCCATCCCCCCTTGGTGCCGTGACCCGGGCCCCGCGGCCTCCCCGCACTCGGAGGCCCCTGCGGGAGCGCGGATTCTGGGCTGGGAAGGAGATTGGGCACCTGGTGGGTGACGGGAGCGTTACGGAAACTCCCTCTTTGTTGCCAGTGTTACAGGAGGAAGAGGTTCCGAATTTAGTTTTTCTGTGGGCACTGGCTGAATGTTGTCGCTGAGGGCTGAGATGCAGAGATTTCTCCCAGCTTCTACCCTGCCCCCATCCAAATTTCGCCAACCTCCTTCTCTCGGATCCGAGCCCTTAACCTGGGTGGATATGTTTAGACAACTGTATGAGGATCAAATGTAATAGAACTTGACTACTGGCCACTAATAACTGAGAGGACCTGTTTGTAAATTACCTAATTTAGTGGATTAGTGAGTGTATTTACAAATACTATAAAAAGCAATCAGGAATACTGCATCAAACTGTCTTGTGGTGGTGTATGAAAAATAGGCTCTGACAACGCCTGGGATGTAATCTCACAGTTTCATTAGCGTAGAATTTAACTGTGGTCTGTGATTTGTTTGTTTTAGGGGGCAGGAAAGGGTTCTTGTTTTTAGAAATAAAGAATGGTTGTTGGTGAAGAAAAATGCTAGTTTGGGGGAAAAAAAAATTCCTCCAGAGATCTAGCATCTGTGATAATGCCAGAAGTGTTTTTACTGCTGCTAAATGACTATATATAACTCAGTTTTAAATAACCTGCATACTTGTTCTGAAAATCTGAGATCTGTTAGAGAGAAAATGACTAGAATTGCAGATGAATGGGGACATTTATGTTTTATTAGGTATCCATCCTATCATCCTATTCCTCCAGTCCTTTGTTTTTTTTGAGTGTTTGCTTACCCGTTTGGTTTTCTTTTTTTTTTCTACTAGCATTATAGTCAGGCTTATTGGTGTAGTTAAACATTCCTATTCAATTATAATAGCAAAGAAAAAACTATATGTAGAGGTGTTAGGAAGGAGAGGCTTGGTATATCAGAGTTTTCATATTAACATATAAAGGCGTAGAATTGCACATAACTTTCAGCTGGTTAGGATTTTGTGGGGTCTAGTTGGGTGCTCTTTAATATTTAAATATAATTTTCACCAAAAAGGTGTTTTTCAGATTGCCTTTCTTTTCAGAATTGAGTTAATTTACTTTCTCTTTTGGTGGTGAAATGCCTTTAAGACAGAAAAGTGTTGATAGTTTATGGTTGACTTGTTCAGTGCATGAACAATTAAATTTGGGAGGGATGGGTGCTGCACCAGAACTCTGCTTTAAAACAGGTAGTGGGTCTTGCATTTGTCTAGCTCAGCGTCATACTTTTTAGAATGCTATCATATACATTTTCTTTTCTTTTACCTCCTCTCACTGTAGAACATGCCATGTTCTACAGATAAGATGCATGTCATGCACCCAAGGGGTGCATTTTTTTCCTGTGGATTCCTGTAACCAATCAACAGCTGTCACATTTTTAAGTTCAGCTTTAAGGACTTGTAGTGTTCAGTGGAGCATTGAGGAGCAGGTTTTGTGCCAAAGAGCTGATCTTTTTTTTTTTTTTTTTTTTCTTCTTATTTGAGATTTTTGGCATCCTTCTTCATTTGTGAAATGTTACTAATCTGCTGGTATTTTAACTCTCCTTTCAGGAGCATCACCAGTTTTAGAATACTGTTGTTCCTATATGTGTTTTTAAACAAAATAGGGTTGCAACTCCACATTTTCTCCTGCCTCTCCTAGGGGTCTCAAATGTATTTTCTTCTTCTTCCTTTTTTTTTTTAGATGGGGTTTTGCTCTTGTTGCCCAGGTTGCTGGAGTGCAATGGTGCGATCTTGGCTCACTGCAACCTCTGCCTCCTAGGTTCAAGCGATTCTCCTGCCTCATCCTCCCAAGTTGCTGGGATTATAGGCATGTACCACCTCACCTGGCTAATTTTATATTTTTAGTAGAGACAGGATTTTGCCATGTTGGTCAGACTGGTCTCGAACTCCTGACCTCGGGTGATCTACCCGCCTCGGCCTCCCAAAGTGCTAGTATTACGGGCATGAGCCACCGCACCCTACCAGGGGTCTCAAATGTATTTTCACTCAGAATATGTTTGTTTCATCGCTTCTACTGGATTGTAAGCTTCTGGAGCACAAGAACTGTTTTTGTTTTCCTTATTTGTGTATCCACTGCAGTGCCTCACTGTAGCTTGTACTTAATAGTTGCTCAGCAGTAGTCCCTGGAGGGAATATATAGACATATATTTGAACCTCTGACTGGCAAGTGGCATCGAATGTGACTCTAGCCCTGACCCATTGAATTCTATAGGCTGGTTGATTAATTCTGCCAAGCCGTCCTCTTCTAAACTCAAACCTGGACTGTTTAAGTTAAAACTTACCTGCCTTTTCTACATCTCTGTTCTTTCAGTGGTACCATCAGCTTGCAAAATTGTTCAAGGTTTTCCTTTGCTCCTGGTGACCTGCTTAATGTGTATGTTTTAGATGGAGCAGTGACTATAACATCTTAAAAGAGCTTGTCTGCAAACTCTAATGATAACCTACACAACACATGAAAACAATGTGCTTTGAGGTAATCTGCAGTTCAGTTTAGCTTTTCTCAGCAGTATCTTCAGCAACTTTAAAGCTCTGGCAGGTTTTTATCAATGTAAATAAAGTGCATTTTCTTTTTGTAGCAGGGAGTCACTTTTGAAATACAATTTATTTTCCCTTATAGTCTCTTACTATGTTGTAGATTCTCATAAAAGAGTTTGTGGTCTTCCAAAGTTTGATCTCTTGTAGTCTGTCCTGGTATTATTTTCATTTTCTTGGCAGTATCTGGGTATCATAATTTCCCATCAAAATAATTATACCGTTTTAGGATTTAGATCAAAGAAAAGTGTCACATTCTATACTAGTATTTCATTGCTAGAGGAGCAGATTATTGGCAAAATAATTTGTGCTGTATCAGCTATGTACATCTAGGATCTTAAAAGTGAGTGAGGGCTCTTAAAGAACTTTTAAAATTATTTTAAAAAAATTAATGACCATTACAAGGTGTTTACTAATATTGGTAATTGCTCAATACCGACCAACACATGATAGTCTTTGCCTAAAAGTCTTTTGAGGGGAACTTAAAAGTAAGATAGTCTTGAGTTTCTTTTTACAGTACTAATCCTCCCTAAGGCTCTTAAAATTTACTCCCATCTCCCTATAATTCGTTTGTTCTGGTATAACCTGACATAATTTCTATCCTTGTAATGTTAAACTTCAAAGTTCACTTGTAAATCTTCAGATTTATTAAAATGCTCTTTCCCATTGACAAACCAGTTTGAATGAATCTTTTGAAATATTACTTAGCAAATTGCCATAAGTTTTTGTCCTTAATGGCTACATCATATTTCTCACAGCAGTGCTTTGGAGGCCAGGAGATTTTGCAAGTTCTGTGAAGTTCTGTGTCCTTCAGTTCTAACCTTAGAAATTGTGAGAGGGATGGAGGACAATCTTTCAGGTTGAACAAACTGCCCCTTGTCTGTCTAGCTTTAGGAGACTTTTGTCCACTGTCTCATTCTGTGGTCTTCAAATTGAAGGCTGTATATTTAACTGTCTTTTTGTAGCCCTCATATTCTGTTTTGGGAGTAATAAAAAACAATCAGAAGTGGTTTACAAATGCTGGTTAACATTTGCATATGCTAACTGTGCTTTAACAGAATTTTAATAATACCATCATCTATATCAGCTTCGTGGAGTTTGAAGTCAGATGGTAAAAATTAAATTTGAAGAGTGTAGTGGGAATTACCAACAGAGACTAAAGTTGCTCAATTAAATTATGACCTGCAAAGTAAACTTGATCTAACGGGAACAGAAGTCATGGCATGAAGCCTTTTTTTCTTTCCTCTTCTGAATATTGTGCTGTTAGCGTAGAGGATCTACTCCTCAAAATATGTAAATCAAAGTTAATGTCAAAATTGGAAAATAATGTAGAAATGGTAATTTTTTTTTTTTTTTTTTTGAGCCAATGTTTGGCTCTTGTTGCCCAGGCTGGAGTGTGGTGGCATAATCTCGGCTCACTGCAATTTCTGCCTCCCGGGTTCAAGTGATTCTACCGTCTCAGCCTCCCAAGTAGCTGGGATTACAGGCGCTTGCCACCATGCCCAGCTGATATTTTAAAAAAAAATTTTTAGTAGAGATATGTTTTCACCATGTTGGCTAGGCTGATCTCAAACTCCTAACCTCAGATGATCCACCCGCCTCAGCCTCCCAAAGTGCTGGGATTACAGGCATGAGCCGCCACGCCTGGCCAATTCCCAAATCTTAAATTGCAGTTTACTAATTTTTTTTTTTTTTTTTTTTTTTGAAACAGGGTCTTGCTCTGTCCCCCAGGCTAGAGTGCAATGACATGATCATAGCTCACTGCAGCTTTGATCTCCTGGGCTCAAGTGATCCTCCCACCTCAGCCTCCTGAGTAGCTGAGACTATAGGTGCGAGATCATGCCTGGCTATTTTTTTTAATGTTTTAAATTTTTTGTAGAGACAGGATCCCACTATGTTGCCTAGGCTGGTCTCAAACTCCCAGGCTCAAACGATCCTCCTGCCTTGGCCTCCCAAAGTGCTAGG